TCGCTCTCAGGAGCTCAGTGACTCCAAGTGTGGTCCCGTGATAGGTGGCCACCTGTGCAATAAGTCCATCCATGACATTTCCTGGCTACTAAATATTCCATGCTCAACTGTTAGTGGGATTATAACAAAGTGGAAGCAACTGGGAACAACAACAACTCAGCCACGATGTGGTAGGCCACGTCACATGACAGAGCGGGGTCAGCGCATGCTGAAGCGCACAGTGCGCAGAAGTCGCCAACTGTCTGCAGAGTCAATAGCTAAAGACCTCAAACCTGGTGTGGCCTTCAGATGAGCACAACAACAGTGCGTAGAGAGCTTCATGGAATGGGTTTCCATGGCCGAGCAGCTGCATCCAAGCCTTCCATCACCAAGTGCAATGCAAAGCGTCGGATGCTGTGGTGTAAAGCATGCCGCCACTGGACTCTAGAGCAGTGGAAACGTGTTCTCTGGCGTGACCAATCACACTTCTCTGTCTGGCAATCCGATGGACATGTTTGGGTTTGGCGGTTTCCAGGAGAACGGTACTTGCCTGACTGCATTGTGCCAAGGGTAAACTTTGGTGGAGGGGTGCTTATGGTGCAAGGTTGTTTTTTAAGGGTTGGGCTTGGCCTCTTAGTTCCAGTGAAGGAAATTCTTAAGGTGTCAGCATACCAAGACATTTTAGACAATTTCATGCTCCCAACTTTGTGGGAAGAGTTTGGGGATGGCCCCTTCCTGTTACAACATGACTGCACACCAGTGCACAAAGCAAGGTCCATAAAGACATGGAGGAGCGAGTTTGGGGTGGAGGAAGTTCACTGGCTTGCACAGTCTTGACCTCAACCCGATAGAACACCTTGATGAATTAGAGCAGAGACTGCCAGCCAGGCCTTCTCCTCTGACCTCACAAATGCGCTTCTGGAAGAATGGTCCAACCTTCCCATAGACACCCTCCTAAACCTTGTGGACGGCCTTCCCAGAAGAGTTGAAGCTGTTATAGCTGCAAAGGGCGGGCCAACTCAATATTGAACCCTACGGACTAAGACTGGGGGCCATTAAAGTTCATCTGGGTGTAAAGGCAGGCGGCTCAATACTTTTGGCAATATAGTGTATATATCACCAGCACACCAAGTATCTTGTTTCAAAGGGTCACATAGAAAAGTAATGTTTCTGGACCCTTTCTCAGATAAGTGGAAGGGTCCCTGTGTGGTCTGAAATTCTTGTTTTTGTATGTGACAAAACAAGAATAAAGAGCTCAGAACTCTGAGCAGTGGTCTCCAAACTGTTGCCCAGGGGACAGATATAGCTCTTTGCTTGCCTTTATCCAGCCCGTGGGGCACTATTCCTCCCACTGACTCTAAGGATGAGGCATTGTTACTGACACCAGGTCATTTTCTACACCAGCCCCTCAAACTTCTGAAGGACAGTAAACTGGTCCTTTGTTTAGAAAGTTTGAAGACCCCTGCTCTAGAGGATTGCTTTGAAGACGAGATTGCCTTGAGGAAGGAAAATTGAGAGCATGGAGCCCTTTAATAGTCTTGATCCAATGCCAAAGTTAATTAGGCAGGTATGGGAAGTCCACAGTTCTGACCTCAATAAGGGCCACCTTATACACAGTCAAGTGTTCCAGATCAATTTCACAGATCAGGTGAGTACTGGGCCCTGTAAGTCTACCCAATCGGTGATAAAGGATTGTTGAAGATGAGTATTTTTGCACAAGAACTTCCAACATGCTTTAAAATGTGTGCAGAACATCTTTGGGTCAAACAGAAAAGAAAAATGAGGTGCATACATGCAGCTAATCTACATGGACACGCCCCAGGCCTCGGAGCTCAAGTGTAGAGGCCCCAACAACTCTCTGCCTGTCTTTCTATCTATTCTGAGGCTAAGAGTTGGATATGGCTGTCCCAGCTCTGTAGATTCTAGTGATGCAGGTGCCAGGCAGCGAAGGGCTGGAGAAGTGTTTGTAGCATCAAGTTAAAAAAAAAAATTCAAAAACCTGGATTCTAGAGGCGTAATTCAATTATTTTTTTATTAAAGGGACAAATAGAAAATAAAATATATAATTGAGCTCAATTAATTTAGTGCCAAGTTATAAAGCTCAGGGAAAGAAGGTACACTTTAGTATTCTCATCTTGGGTGCCATAAGACCTTGTCTCGGCACTGGGGCCAGGAATATGAACATGAACCCAGAAGAACTGAGAATCTCACTGTTGGCCAGGCCCCTTGCCACTTCCATCCGTCTGGGCTCCAATAATACTTTCACAGCTATCACATCACAGAGACATCCATTACTATATATGGCCCATCCAGCCACACCACATCTACTGCATTCATGTCCTGGTTGGTGTCCTTCAACCTGTTATTTGCAGTGCCCCAGGTCTCCTAAAGGTCCCTAAGCACAAAGCTGGATGATGCTGTAGGCCAACACAATGTTCACATGGATTGACCAAGACCGATACTACCAAGGCAGAAATATGGATGCAGACTCCAGGATTCTCATTCCAGTGCTGCCTTCTTAGGCCGGCCATACATTATACAATTTTCTTGAGAATTTTGCTTTAGATTTACCAAAAACCATATAATATGAGGTCAAACTTAAACAACACTTTCAACTGTATCCAGTTAGGCAGGCCCTTGCACTACATAGTTGAAGGTAAATCTAAAGGAAATTGGGCAGACTTTGGACAGAAATTGTATAGTGTATGGCCAGCCTTAGGCCCCTTTCACATGGGTGTTCTGATCAGGTCCACCTGTCTTTTTCAGGCTGACCTGATTGGAAGGTCCATGCAACCCTATGGACAGGCAGGCGTAAATGGACTTTTGCCGTTTACCCTGCCTACCTCTGGTCACATGACATCACTCTTATCTCTATTAATAAAACACAGACCTGACCGGAGAGGTGAGGAGGATTCTGGGAGGTCACATGACATCACTCATATCTATTAATAAAACACAGACCTGACCGGAGAGGTGAGGAGGATTCTGAGAGGTCACATGACATCACTCCTATCTCTATTAATAAACCACGGACCTGACCAGAGAGGTGAGGAGGATTCTGGGAGGTCACATGACATCACTCTTATCTCTATTAATAAAACACAGACCTGACCGGAGAGGTGAGGAGGATTCTGGGAGGTCACATGACATCACTCATCTCTATTAATAAAACACAGACGAGACTGGAGAGGTGAGGAGGATTCTGGGAGGTCACATGACATCACTCTTATCTCTTAATAAAACACAGACCTAACGGAGAGGTGAGGAGGATTCTGAGAGGTCACATGACATCACTCTTATCTCTATTAATAAAACACAGACCTGACCAGAGAGGTGAGGAGGAGTCTGGGAGGTCACATGACATCACTCTTATCTCTATTAATAAAACACAGACCTGACCAGAGAGGTGAGGATTCTGGGAGGTCACATGACATCACTCTTATCTCTTAATAAAACACAGACCTGACCTGACTGGAGAGGTGAGGAGGATTCTGGGAGGTCACATGACATCACTCTTATCTCTATCATTAAAACACAGACCTGACCGGAGAGGTGAGGAGGATTCTGGGAGGTCACATGACATCACTCTTACCTCTTAATAAAACACAGACCTGACCGGAGAGGTGAGGAGGATTCTGGGAGGTCACATGACATCACTCTTACCTCTTAATAAAACACAGACCTGACCGGAGAGGTGAGGAGGATTCTGGAAGGTCACATGACATCACTCATCTCTATTAATAAGGCAAAGTGAGTAGAAGGGAATTAAGGGTTCATGAACAAGGAATTACATGGATTAATAAAGGGTTAATATACATTAAATGGGAGGGCAGAATGGGTTCATGGAAAGTGAATTGGAGAGGGGCAATAAAGGGTTAAAATACACTGAATGAGAAGGGACAATGAAGGGTCGATGTACATTTTTTAAAAAATGTATTAGAGGTTCTAATATAGTGCCATCAATTTATATATATATTGTGTACATTCACTCCCTACATTGAATAGAAGTGAGCCAGTAAAGGGTTAATGCACAATAAATTCAAGAACCTAGTGAAGGGTTGATGTTTATTGAATGGGATGGGACAGTAAAAGGTTAATAGGTGGTGAATGGGAAGAAGGCTACAGAAGGGTTAATATGCTCTCAAAACTCAAGGCAGTGAAGCTTTAATCAGCACTTCCAGTACACACTCAGACTTTGGATGGTGAAGGGTTAACAAGCACTTCCTGTGGTGCTCTGGGACACTGTGCAATGGCTCCACCTCTGAGCAGAAAGAACATGGTGGATGAGCTGTGAGGTCATATGTGTTTGTATTTGATCCCCCAGAAGCCATGTTGGATACTGGCGATGCCCGCAGTCAAGTCTGTTGGTGTTCTATAGTCATGTGTCTCCTGCGAGGAGAGGAAACTGGAAGTCACATGGCAGGAGTGGGAGGGATGTCTGTAGAGGAGGGGTAATGGCTGCATACACAGAGGACAAAAGTTGCTAATTCGTATTCTTGAGATCTCATCACCCATCTGATGCTGTGTTTGAAGATAATCCATACTATACAGCCGTCTCTGGACACCTTCTAGAGTTTTCCTCCTGAGGAGACCGGTGGTGGTCTCACTGTCAAAGTGCCTTCATCTACCATTCCAACCAAAAGAAGCAAAGACAAGTAGATTCTACAAGTCACCAAGAAGATAATTGAGCTGCTAGAGGGAGAGGTGAGTGGGAATTCTGGGACATTCTCCAGTAACAGACAAGGGGGGTGTCTGGATGGTGACTGTATCATTGTGTGTGTCAGGGTGTCACTGTCTATTTCTCCATGGAGGAGTGGAAGTATTTAGAAGGACACAAGGATCTCTACAAGGACGTCATGATGGACAATCAGCCGCCCCTCACATCACCGGGTAAGAGGAGACTTTATTGTAAAGGAGAGAGCAGTACGGAGGGTCCACCTAGATCCCCCATCATCTGATAAACACATAGAAACAATGGATTCAGTCAGTGTGTGTGTTTCCTACAGATGGATCCAGTCATGGGAACCGACCAGAGAGATGTCCCCGTCCTCTGTATTCCCGGGATTCCACACAGGAAGATCACACCATCCCCCACCATCATCAGGTAGATGGATCCAGTCATGGGAACCCGCCAGAGAGATGTCCCCGTCCTCTGTATTCCCGGGATTCCACACAGGAAGGTCACACCATCCTTCACCATGATCAGGTAGAAAAAAGTATCTCCAGACGGTATGAGAGTATAATCTTCTATGTAGTCAAAGCCTAATGTAATAAGATTTTCATGATGTTATTTTCTATCATTCGATTGGTTAAGCACGAGGAACAGATGTATGTGAAAGTTGAGGTTAAAGAAGAAGAAGAGGAGGTGTGCGTGATGGATTATAAACAGTCTACAGAAGAGGTTGGGATGGCGGCAAATATTAAACAGGAGGAATACTTAAATATCACCACAGGTGAGTATTAGGCACTAAATACAAAAAACATTCCAATAATTGATGAGCAAGGATCTGTAGACCTTCATATAGTCATAATTAGCTCCACGAGAATCTCATGCTAGAGGATCAGCCGCCCCTCACATCACCAGGTAAGAGGAGGCTTTATTGTAAAGGAGAGAGCAGTACGGAGGGTCCACCTAGATTCCCCATCATCTGATAAACACATAAAAACAATGGATTCAGTCAGTGTGTGTTTCCTACAGATGGATCCAGTCATGGGAACCCACCAGGGAGATGTCCCCGTCCTCTGTATTCCCGGGATTCCACACAGGAACATCATACCATCCCTGATCAGGTAGATGGAGATGAAGGCATCACCTTGTATACTTATGCTCCCTATTTAGTGTCCATGTGCTGATATTTGTGTATTTTAGGATGATGACCAGATTTATATCAAAGTTGAAATCAAAGAGGAAGAGACATATGAGATAGGTGATCAGCCCCGTGTGGAGAATGACATACCTCCAGAAAGCAACACAGGTGAATATTGAATGCATACTATTGCTAATACTAAGCATATACATCTACCTCTGCTAAAGTGTTTCTATGCTGTTAGTCTCTGTGCTGAATAGCAGCTTTAAAATGCATGTTTAGGATCCCTGCTACATCAAACTCTCAGGAGATCCTGCTACTGTTTATATCTATAGACAGATTAGTCACCAGTGAGGGAAATGGAGTTATGGGTGATCTTACAATTATTGGCAAGCTCTGCACCATGAATGTTTGAAGAGAACAAGGGTTCACCATGAAATGAGGAAGAGATACTGTACACCATATGAAAGGTCCATCTCCATTCCTCAATATAACGTCATGTTCCCAACAAATGAGGAGGAGATACTGGACACCATATGAAAGGTCCATCTCCATTCCTAAATATAACGTCATGTTCCCAACAAATGAGGAGGAGATACTGGACACCATATGAAAGGTCCATCTCCATTCCTCAATATAACGTCATGTTCCCAACAAATGAGGAGGAGATACTGGACACCATATGAAAGGTCCATCTCCATTCCTCAATATAACGTCATGTTCCCAACAAATGAGGAGGAGATACTGGACACCATATGAAAGGTCCATCTCCATTCCTCAATATAACATCATGTTCCCTACAAATGAGTTGAAGACAGTGGCAGGAAAAGGTCATCCAGTGACCAAGCGAAGATGTCAAACTTCCATCACTACCACCCTTGTATCAGCATCAATACGCAGTTCCAGGTCTGCCAATCAGGTTTCATGTGGTTCTGGAATTGCTCAGTGCCGTAGTGGGACCTTCCTGTTGTGTGGTTTCAGCCTTTTCTGGTCTCCTTGCTGTGCTGTTTAGTCCTTGCTCCTTAACCATTTGACGCCCAGCCTATGGCCAAATGGCATCTGTAAAAATGTATTCGCTTTCCGGGAGGCCGCCATATGGCGTCCTCCCGCACATGCGCAGTTCGCGCACTTGCGCGATCTGTCACCGGCCGTGTATCTCGGACATGGCCGATGACAGATCTGAGTACCGGCCCCCGTTGCCGGTACCATGTGACCTGCTGTGACCAATCACAGCAGGTCACATGACAGTTGTATACAATGGATGGCTTCATTCATGCCATCCATTGTATACTAGTGTCTAGCTGTGAATGGTCACAGCTAATCACATGCACATGTCATGTGATTAGCTGTGGCCAAATCACAGCTAAGCACAAAAAAAAAAAAAAAAAAATACTGATCACTTCCCCAAAGTAGTGAAATATAAAAAAAAATCTTAAAAAAAAGAAAAAAAATTGAATAAAAAATTTAAAATAAAAAAAAAATATATATTTTTTTTTTCACACTGTCACCAATCAGTGTCCCTGATCACCGCCATGCCAGTTATATGACGACGCTGTACTGCACTGGTGACAGTATGTAAAAACAAAAAAGTGAAAATAATTTTTTTTATTTTTTCATTTTACAAAAAATTATGACAAAAAAAATACAACTTCAAAAAACTCGCCAGACATCGGACTGTCTACTTTGCAAAAAGGGGTCATTTGGGGGATATCTGTACTGTTCTGACATTCTTGGACCTCAAGAAATTAGATTGGCTGTCAGTACTTCAGGATTGATCAATATTCAGATCTATACCATAGTTTGTGAACTCTATAACTTTCCTACAAACTAAAAAATACATCCTAATTTGGGTTATTTTCACCAAAGACATGTAGCAGAATACATCTCGGCCTAAATTTATGAAGAACAATTATTTATTTGCAAACTTTTATAACAGAAACAAAGAAAAACGTGTTTTTTTTTCAAAATATTCGGTCTTTTTTGTTAATTTAGCAAACAATAAAAACCCCAGCGGTGATTAAATACCACCAAAAGAAAGCTCTAGTTGTGTGAAGAAAATGATAAAATTTTAGTTTGGGTACAATGTTGTATGACCGCGCAATTGTCAGTCAAAGTGTTAGAGCGCTGAAACCTGAAAAATGGCCTGGGCAGGAAGGGGTAAAATTGCCCCGGTATTGAATTGGTTAAAATGAATAACATCAGAGTGCAGGGGTATGTAACATACTGCATGTAGGGGTCAAAAGTGTTTTAAAGTGTTACTAAACCTCAGACCCTGCGTTCACTATATCCGGTCTCCCTGGACCCTGAATTCACTATATCCAGTCTCCCCAGACCCTGAATTTACTATATCCACTCTCCCCGAACCCCGCATTCACTATATCCGCTCTCCCCGGACCCTGCATTCACTATATCTGCTCTCCCCGGACCCCGCATTCACTATATCCGCTCTCCCCGGACCCCGCATTCACTATATCCGCTCTCCCCGGACCCCGCATTCACTATATCTGCTCTCCCCGGACCCTGCATTCTCTATATCCGCTCTCCCTGGACCCTGATTTCACTATATCCGCTCTCCCCGGTCCCTGCATTCACTATATCTGCTCTCCCCGGTCCCTGCATTCACTATATCTGCTCTCCCCAGACCCCGCATTCAGTATATCCGCTCTCCCCGGACCCCGCATTCACTATATCCGCTCTCCCAGGACCCTGCATTCACTATATCCGCTCTCCCCGGACCCTGCATTCACTATATCCGCTCTCCCCGGACCCTGCATTCACTATATCCGCTCTCCCCAGTCCCTGCATTCGCTATATCTGGTCTCCCAGAGTACACTGAACATGGAAATGCAATTATTTTAGTAAATATAAACGGCTAAATACCTTTTCTCATCAGAAGTTAGAGCAGTCTTGTGGCTTCTATCAGTGTTCAGCCAAGCACTAGCTAAAGCTTGTAGGAGGAGTTTTCTTTCTGCTCTAGGAAGATTCAAAACCCCTGACCCTCTGTCTGACCATTACTGATTGGCCCTGTGCTGATCACATGCACTCTCCCAAGAAAAAAAAAACTCTTTAGCAATACACACCAAACTGAGACTGTGCAAAATGCCCACGGTTAAGTCTGTCTTCTCAGGAGATAAGAAGTGGTCGCTTGAACAAGGTGAGGAACAGAGAAGACAGCATCAAACAGCCTTTTTACACAATGCGGAGGATTAACCCCTTCGGTTCCACAGGAAGTATAACAAGCATGCTTTACTGCATCTACAGACTGATTTTACTGTTAGGGGTTCAGTAACACTTTTTAAATGCAGGAGTCAAGAGTGTTTAACATACTGAATTCAGGGGGGCAGGGTTGTGTAAAGTATAGAGTGCAGTATTCCGTAATGTAGAGGATGCAGGACTCAGGAATGTATGACGTACAGTGTGCAGGGGTCAGGAGTAAAAGGATGTTCAGCCCAGTGAACAGCATGCCCGGACGTCAAGGGTATGTAACATGTGCAGGAGTGTAGTAGAGGGAAGTCTCTCCACCTTGCATACGGCACCTCATATGGGTCATGGCCATGCTCGCAACGTAGCAATTTGTACGTCATGACCAAGTGACCGCTAGTTGGTGGTTTGGTTGTATTGTACATCCTGATAATTATGTTCTCCTAAGAGTTTCAGTTACCCAATTCCGTGGCAGAGCTCTGTGGAAATGTTGACCACTCAACAAACCAGAAGACTTCTCATATTAATTGAATATTTTTCTCTAACAGATAGTCCAAACGGGTGGAACACGTTTCAACGGCACTTTATTTCATCTCCGAATGACGTGGCACCAGACCCTAACCCTGAACGTTCCCATGCAGATAAGTTAATGGACCTCGCTAATCCTGGGGAATCCTCTGACAAGTCGAATACTGTTCCTTCAGATACCCATCCAAGATTTCATAGAGAAGGTCGGTCAAACCCACCTTCCTTTAATAATTCAGACTCTTCCACCCATAAAGTCGGGAAGATATTTCCGTGTTCTCACTGTGAAAAATGTTTTTCAGCAAAGTCATTTCTCGATAAGCATCTAAGAGTGCACACCGGGGAGCGTCCATTCTCGTGCTCGGAGTGCGGGATTAGTTTCAAGTCCAGCTCAAACCTCTTTAGGCATCAAAGACTTCACGCTGGAGTCAAGACCTTTTCTTGTTCGGTATGCGGGAAGTCTTGTGCAGACAATGCGAACCTTGCCCGCCATCTACTAAACCACACCGGTGAGAAACCTTTTCCATGCTCAGAGTGCGGGAAGCGTTTTAAAAGGAAGTCTCAGTTGACTGAGCATTTTAGGGTTCACACGGGTGAAACTCCTTTCTCGTGTCCAGAGTGTGGAGAAAGTTTTATGCAGAAGTATGATCTCACCGTCCACCAGAAAACCCACACGGAAAAAATTCCATACATATGCACGGTGTGCGGTAAAGGTTTTACATGGAAGCATACGCTCCTACTACACCAGCGAACCCACACGGGCAAAATGCTGTACACTTGTACAGAGTGCGGGCAGGGGTTCATACGGAAACGCACGTTTGTCAACCACCAGCGAACCCATGTGGATGAACTTCCAATCTCCTGCCTAGACTGTGGCAAACGCTTCACTCAGAAATCCGCTCTTGCTGAACATCAAAAACTTCACGTGGATGAAAGCTCCTTGACATGTCTGGAGTGCGGCAAATCTTTTCAAACCAAGTCAGAACTGTACGTACATCGGAGAGCTCACGTCCGCGAGGAGATCTTTCCCTGTTCAGAATGTGAGAAATCTTTCAAAACAAAGACAGAACTCCTTCTACACCAAAGAGGTCACACTGGTGAGGTCATCTTCTCATGCTCGGAGTGCCAGAAATCCTTCATAAGAAGGTCGGACCTTGTCAGACACCAAAGAGTCCACACCGGTGAAAAGCCCTTTTTGTGCTTCCAGTGCGGCAAACGTTTCTCACATAGAGGAGGCCTCAGAGGCCACCTGAAGCTCCACACTGGAGAAAAACCCTTCTCCTGCCCCGAGTGCGGGAAATGTTTTAGCAGGAAGGACAATCTAATTTCCCATCAGAACACTCACAGGGCAGAGATGCCATTTTCCTGTGCGGAGTGTGGAACAGGGCCTGGAAGTCAGGTCTTGTGTTCACACAGTGGAGCC